CTGAGCTGGCTGCTCTGCAAGCTCTCGAAAACACCTTGAGCCAAGAGCAAATAGACACATTCAACAACAGGCTCGAAAATGAGTACGACATGCCACATACATTCGACCCACTATATTCGTGTTGGAAGAGCTTACAAGAAGCTGCTGCGGCTACACCATCGCCGCAGCTTGTCGACGTTGTGGAAGCTGCTGGTCCCATTCCATCTTGGGACGACAGTGTCGAATCGATATTTGCACAACCATCGACAAGCATCGATAATAACCCTAGAAAAATGAAAAGGCAAATTACATCCCACCGATTCTTAACTAGTAACGAATACATAGCGAAAAAAATTGCGTCAGAGGAGGAGAAAACCCAAATTATAGAAGCGAAGGAAACAAGAAAACGCGAGAGAGAACTAAAAAAGGCAAAACAAGTAGATGATAAAGCAAAGAAGATGTTGGAAAAAGCAAAAAAGCAAAAAAGAAATGCTGTAAAATCAACAGTAGATGACGATTCGGAGTGCTTTGTGTGCTTGACCTCGTGGCATGATGATGAGGGTGGAATGGAGTGGGTGCAGTGTGAGAGGTGTGAGAAATGGCTCCACACTGGTTGCATACCTTTTGGTGTCATTTTTGATGCAGACTCCAGCTTCATTTGCCACCTTTGTCTCTGAAATGTTTGATTGATTGATGATTTGATTGATTGATGATGCATTGATGATGCATTGATGATTTGATTGCTTGATGATGAATTGATTGATTGTTTACCCTGAATTTGCAAAACGAAGTTGAGTTGCGTCTTGTCTGCAGCCACGTTTAAAGTTGTGTAACTGAAAGAGAAACAACAAAAACATAATAATTAATAACACTGATGAAATATTAAGAAAACTGTAATTAATTCATAAAGTGTAAATGATTAATTGTTGTAGGCCCTATTATTCGTGGTGACGAATTGTAGTAGGCCCTACACATGTGTACACAGGTTGTACATACACATAGGGCCTACACACGTGATGAATTGAAGATGCATTGATGAATTGATGATTGATTATTTGATTGCTGATTGATTTACTGTGTCCGATTTGAGCTCAAGTTGGATGAGTTACGCGTAGTAAATCGTAGGTATTATAAGGCTAGTAAATGACGAATTTCCCTTGTTTATTGATGTCACACTCCTCCCTATTATACACTCCTGATGTGGATGCTGCAGGTGGGCGCAGGGGGAGAGAAGGTCTCCCCCAGCAAAATTGTAAAAATTTGAATGTCTTAGACTGCATTTGAGGCACCCTGAAGCATTTTCACAACGGCGATGTTAAATTAGACAACGGCGGTGCGCCACTGTGCCTCTTATGTATAAGAAACCCTGTAATTGTGTAATTAACTTCTAATTACAGCATTTGCTCTATGACAACACAATTTGATACACCAACTTGAAAATAAAAAATAATCGGGAACACTAAGAGTAGTTGATGGTTTCAATTTTTTTAATAAGTTGGAGTTAAAGTTAAAAGGTTGTTATAAGCACATAACAGTTAATTACAATAAATACGACATGACGACGACAATAAACATTAGTAAAGGGAAGAAGGGCGCAAAATCACCACACATCCAGCAAGTTAGCCAATCTTATAAACATATATACATCTATTATATTGTAATATTATTACTATATCATAGTACTTAGATATAACATGTGTTTCAATGTTTTTAGGGCCTCAGGCCTCTACACACTTACCTCCAGATGACATTTGCCTATCGAAGCAGTCTGGGTCATCAAGAGGGCAACCTGACCCTTCATCTGCTAACCAGTGTGCTTCTTCTTGTGTGTATGGTGACCTTCTCTTAGCCTAGATATGTTGGTAAAAAGTCATTTTACACACACGACAACTCTCACATCCACCTTCCAGATTCGAGCACATAACTCGACAATTAATATATTGCTTGCTAACGCTAATGCAACTATATGGTACTAGCCTAGGCATTCATAATGTTCTGGAGTCTTCTTCAGTATGGCAACTGCTTTTCTTGCTTACCAGCTAAAAAAAATGTGAATGCCTGCCAACGTAGATTGCTATTTGCATCAGGGTTAGGACCTTTCTTAAACATGGCACCTCTTAACCAAAATCTATTTCTCACTGAATGGCATAAAAAATAATAGCAAAGTGGTAGCATTAAGTGCCGCAACAGCATTTGTATTGTTGTGCAGTACAATTGCAAACAAATTGCACAAGGCTCATGCTGCAATTCAGGTTTACAGTGAACTTTGCCTGTTCCAAAGTAATAATTGTGTACTGTAAATACGCCCCTGTTTCACATAGTCACGGTAATGTTTTCAGAAGCCAGAGAGGTAGAAGATATTAGTTGTGGCTATCACATTCATAGACATAGCCTATATGTTATGTGTTATGTGTTATATGTTATGTTATAGCCTATAGGGCTAGTATAGGTTCGTGAAATTATATACACTATGTATAACACTAGTACTACTACTAGTAGTAGTAGTAATACTAATACTAGTAATAGTATAAACAATGATACTGTGATACAATGATAAACATTGTATTAGTTTTTGCGTTTCACGTTCAGCTAAGTAAAATTCGGCCCAAGGATATAAGAGCTGTCCACATTTGCACATCGCACATTGCAAAAATGAATTGGGGACAGATCTTATAATATATAATACTTATATCCTTGAACCTAAAATTCTACTGTCGTGTTGTTTACTTTACCTGGACCTTTCTTGAATAACCGGCAACTTGAAAACAGAAGACAAGCACCGATATCAGAGAACTTGAAACAATCATCACGTCAAGTAAGAAACAAAGGTCGTTATATGTTTTTTGACTAAACACGCTTACGATAATTATATGACAACACCAGCAGCAATTTTACACCAAAAAAATTTTTCCAATCCAAACTTTTACCTCCAAAGGCAAAAGTTTGGCATCACAACCAATACCGGAAATAACTACCAGCGCCACCTGTAAGAAAATAAATACATACCGGAAAAATGATTTTCGCGCGTTTAGCGCACGTGCGATGGTTTGTTGATTCGTTGCTTAGTAACAACCCATTGTTCTCGAGAGAACCTTCGAATCTCGCAGTCGAGTCTCACAAGCCGTCAAAGAACGTTCACGTGAGCTGTATCTGTCATAATCTGACCATCTGAGTATCTCTGTAAGAAAAAGAGAACAAAATGGTAGGAACTAGAGTTTATTTTGTCATAAGGTAGTATGATTATGCATGACACGAAATATTTGCTAGTCTAGTACTGGAGAAATTAGGGTTCAAGGATAGAGAACATGTAGCCCAATAAAACCAATGTCATTTACATCAATATTAATATAATATTATAATCAATATAATAGGTTAGGGTTATGGTTAGAGTTAGGGTTAGGGTTAGGCACATTGGTTTTATTGGGCTACATGTTCTCTATCCTTGGGCCGAAATTAGCGTGTAGATGCGCATATTGTGGCTTAAGTTTAAGTATGATATCGCAGTGGCTACGGTAGATACAATAATGTAACCCAAACACAGGATAGGTGGGGTAACCCTCTCCTGTGTTTGGGTTACATTATTGTATCTATGGCTACAGGTACGGTAGTCCATTTGCGCATGCGTCGCTTTCTCACACCATAGATTAATTTGGGTACTATGACGCGCGTATATAGGTGTTGAACAACAGTAAGTCAGTAGAGGGCGTCCATAGGCTGCAGGCCTGAATACGCATCGAACAGAAATTAATTATAAATACTCACACTGTTACTGCACTTACAAAACATACACTTTATTCATGTTAAATAACTACAGATTCATGCTCTAGGGTAAAGGAGCCAAATGTCGGACAGGAGTCAATAGTCGGCCGCTTACGTAAAAACTATTTTGTAATTATTTGTGAATGTTATTTAATAAAAAACCCAAGTTATTCCTACAGATTAATGTGTTATGTACATTTTTATACTAAATAATCTAGACTGCGTTGCATATATAAAGATTTACGATAATTTATTTATACTCCCATGAGCCTTCAGCAGCCTCTTGCCGCCAATATTGAAATTACGTCGGTGTGTGGCAGAAAATTTTGGGTGGGTAAATCGTTGTGTTTCTTGTTTAATAACACAAGTATTCATAACTATGTGTGTTTTTAGCATGAATGAACATGTCAAGATGTGTTTTTACACAAGTTTACATAAAAATACCCCCATTACATGAAATTATCACATGATTTATGCTGTCCGACCTTACCCGTCCTCCAAAATTTTTGTTGAGTCTAAAGTCGGACACTAGCCTAGAATCATAATGTCAACTCTCTTAGAGCCAACAATTTTTAATTTGCCTCTTTTAAAAACGAATTTAATTAGATTGTATATACCTACTGTATATTTTTAAAAGTACTAGGAGCACAAATTATTACTGGATCATATTAATAGCTTATAATAAAATATAAACAATAACATAACATCATGGAAATTGAAATAAAATTGTTTTAATTTACAATAAATCGGAAATGTAACAATGTTTTATTTTACAATAAATAAAAAATGTAGAACTGTTTTATTTTACAATAAAACAAAATTTTAACATCGTATTAATTGTGCATAATTAAATTTTAAACGAGTTAAATTTTAAATTAAATACTGCATTGACTCCGAATTTTGCAAAAAAGTAAAGGTGCAGTATATTATATACACAGTCTCCCTCTCCCCTGCGTCCCACCTCTCTAATACAAACTTTATTGTTACATTGTAAACACCGCCCTAGTACACAATGGTTCCCAACCCCGCGCACATTATCTCCTGCCTACAGCCTCGTCTACACGACGAAATTTAACTCGAGTTAGCGATTATGTAGCGTCTACATAGCTATTATCTAGCGATTATGTATAGCCCCGTATAAACACTTAACTCGAGTTAAACTTAGTCGTGTAAACGAGGCTTATATGTACACCGTAACATCGATACCACTGTCAATCCGTCCAATCTCGCTAATGTTTCCTTCTCTTTTAGCCTGTTCCATAGATTTCCATCAACGACCTGACCTCTCCTCCTCATGCCTCGGTGCCGCAAACTTGCTAAATGGCAAGATGCCGATATGAGTTCGGCCGTGCTTGCTGTCAAGCAGAAACGCATGTCAACGAGAGAAGCAGCAAAATTTTACAACGTACCAAAATCGACTCTTGGTGACAGAGTCACAGGAAAAATTAAAGAAAAATCTCAAATGGGTCGTCCGCCAACCATCCCCCTCAAAATCGAAAAGGACCTAGTCACCAATGCAAAAAAATGTGCTGCCTCCGGATTTGGCTATTCACGAAAAACCTTTATGGACAAGGCAACACAACTGTGTAATAGGATGGAAATGCCCATCAAGAGTAGATCAGGAAGCCTGGGGAAAGACTGGTGGAAAGGGTTCAAAGCACGTCATCCGGACATCTCTCTCCGAAAGCCAGAAAAGCTGACAACAGTGAGAGCAAGAATGCTAAACCGCACAGTAACGTCAAAATACTTTACAGATCTCGGAGAAATTTTAGAAAAGCTAGAGATAAAAAACAAGCCACAACAAATTTACAACTGCGACGAGACTGGCATCAACTTTGAGCACCAACCATCTAAAATAATAGCAGCAAGGGGGGCAAAAGTAGTACAAAGCAGGGTTAGTAACAGCAAGCAGAATGTAACGGTTATGGCTGCAATCAACGCAGCTGGTGAAGCGATTCCGCCAGCTGTTGTTGTCAAGGGAAAAACTAGCAAGGCACTGCAGGGGTACGACACAGCGTCCGGGCCACCAGGAACGCTGTGGTCGTACCAAAAAAAAGCATGGATGGAGGACGTGCTCGGCAAGGACTGGCTGCAGTCAGTCTTCCTCCCCAACGCCAGGAAGGAGCGGCCTCTCCTGCTAGTCTTGGATGGCCACAGCAGTCACGTCACTCTGGACTTTATCCAGCTAGCCAGAGAAAATGATGTCCACCTGCTAGCCTTGCCTCCGCACACTACTCACTTCCTGCAGCCTCTCGACCGATCATTCTTTGGCCCCCTAAAACAAAACTATAATGCAGTATGCACAAAATTTATCCGGGAAAATCCAGACAAAATGATCAGCAAGTGGGTTTGGCCCTCCCTTTTTAGAAGCAGTTGGCTACAAACCATAGCTCCACTTACAATAGCAAACGGGTTCCGCGCAACAGGATTATATCCATTCAGTCCAAGCGCGATCCCCGAAGCCGCATTCATGCCATCCGACCCGTACGACCTGCCAGCACCCATCAGCGATTCCAGCACCATTCCAGGACCAAACAGCACCCTTTCAGAGGTAGACCCTACAGAGGAAAGACAAGCAGCTGCAGCTACAGTAATATCCGCTGAGCTGGCTGCTCTGCAAGCTCTCGAAAACACCTTGAGCCAAGAGCAAATAGACACATTTAACAACAGGCTCGAAAATGAGTACGACATGCCACATACATTCGAGTGATTCGACCCACTATATTCGTGTTGGAAGAACTTACAAGAA